TTTTTCGGTGTTCTTTTATAGACAGGTACAAACAACTTACATCATTTCTTTACGTACCAGGTTGCCACCCTCTGTTGCCTAGATACCACCCCTCACCTTATGGAAGGGGGGCTTCCTTACTATCCTTCATGCTGTCAGTCTCGACCCGGTCCTGAACCTAGGTCGGTATGTGCATTCATTTTTAGGGAGTCTTTGTACCAAGACATTTCTTATTAAGATGTTCTGTTACTCCCCTTTGGCTTACAGTCTGTATACCCAGTGCCTCCCTGTGTCCTTCCATGCTCGACCTAATTTACACAATCACACAATTATCAATAGGGCCTCTTTCTTGGCTCTTGTGTTACTGAACCAAAGTCTTGCTCACTAGATTGCAGGCCTGTTGCTGTTTTCATGTTACAGGCCTCTATTCAGGCCTGCTGACTCCATGTTACTGACCCTTAACTTACTACAACCATTAGGATTAATTGATGTGCTTGGGCTTATTGTTTAATCATGTAAACGGCTACACGCTAACAGACCTAGAGAATATCTTCATATACAGGCCCAGTCAAAGCAAGCAGTCTTTGTAAAGATGAGAGAATTTTGGTGGTCTATGAATAGAAGTTGACAAGGCAAATTTTTGTCTAATAGCAACACTGGAATTGCCTTATGGAAGATCCTACTGGTCTGCCAGGAGTGGACAATAGGGCCTCCGCGGACCCAATCCGGCCTGCCAAACGGGTGGATCTAGCCTGCGGAGGCCCTGCTGCTCCTCTGCCCCCAGGCCAATTGGGACCTAAGGGTGAGGTAGTGGGCCAAGCCTCCTCTGCTTCGCCCCCGCGTTGTGAGCAGTGCATGGTGCTTCAAAGCGCCATGTGCTCCTGACACGGCGGGAGGAAAAGTCACGCACTCACCTGCCCCCAGGCTCTTATTGGTGCTTTGAAGCGCCGTATGCTGCTCGCAGGGTATGGGGGAGAACAGAGAAGGCTTGGGGCGCTCTCCATGCTCTGTGGCCTGGGGGTGTGGGAGCGAGGTGGTGCACCTTGGGGGAAAGTGGGGTGGGGACATAGGCACTCCCTCACCCCCAGCCCAATCATAGTTTGATTCCATGCCCCTTCTTGTGTGGCCCGTGGCCACTCAAAAAATTTCCGAAGTGGCCCCCAGCAAAAAATTATTGCCCAGCCCTGGTCTACCCTATAATCCTGTCGCCAACAGTGAACACATCCAGATGTTTTAGAGCAGGTTTCTCAGTGTGGTCCGCGGCCCAGTACCGGTCCTTAGAAAAAAAATACCAGTCCTTAGAAAAATTACCACGCATGATCCTATTAATTTGTGTGACTGGGTAGCAGCATCCTGCACTGCCGAGCGCAGTGGCGCGGTCCTCTTGGGAGAGAGCCCGCCACTGCAATGTCTCTGCTGGGCATGCTCCCACGTGGTGGGGCTAGATCTGACGGACACTAGAACCCAGGGAGAAGGCCGGGCGCACCGATGGAGAACGCCTGGCGTCGGACAAGGCCAGGGGAGCCGGCGCCGGCTGATAAAGCATCTGGGATTGGGGCCATGAGGGGGGAGCGGAACAACCCGCTGGACAGGTAGGGCCAGCGACACAATTTATTTGCATATTCATCATTTGCTTAATGTATATGCAAATAAATGTTACTGGTCCTCCAAAAGCTTGTGAATGGGTTTACTGGTCCCCAGTATCAAAAAGATTGGGAACCACTGTTTTAGAGGATAGTTGAATAATCCTGTAGTAGGCTGCTTTGTAATGATCTGTTCTTTCCCCAGCTTTCATCCTGAGTGTGATTGTGAGTAGTAGAGTCGACTACTCACTTCTTGCCCCCCCCTTTGTGCTTTTGTATCAGAGGCAGCAAGTGCGGTGGGGGGAGAAGGAGCTGGTGCTGTGGGGAGCCACCTTAAAAACCAGTTCCACCACCCCAGCACTGTCTCCGTGCTGCAGCTTGTCCTCCCCACACGATGATCAGATGCTGCAGTGTAGAGGTTGGGAGGCAGAGGAGGCTGCCACAGAACAGCCTCTCCCCACTGAGGACAGAGGCTGCTCTGGTAGCTACCCCTGTTCATGCGGGATCTCAGCGAGCTGCTGGGACCTGGTGTGAGCCCAGCTCAGTCCTGGCTTATGCTGGGTCCAGGATCATCTACTGCTGCACCTCTGTAGTTAGAGCTGGATGTGTGCACTAGGGATGTGTGATGGGGCGCTAATGCCCCACACTCCAAAACCCCCCGCGCCAGCCATGTATGGGGCGTGGCGAGCCGGGTGTGCCAGGATACTATTGCCCCACACCTTAAAAATTCTGGTGCCAGCCTTGGTCGGGGGGCGGTGAGTCGGGGTTTGTGCATGTGCAGAGTGCTTGTGTGCTGCCAGACAGCTATCCGGAGCGGTGCCCGGGAAAACGGTAGAAGGGTGTGGCGGGAGAGGGATGGGGGCAAGGGGACGGGATCTGGGGGAGGAGAGAAGAGGGTGGTGCCT